TTATTTTGATAATTGAAAAATATTTTCAGTTTTTTTGTGCTGGTATAGCAATAGAGTGTTAAAGTCAAATATGATTCGATAATCACAAAATTATGTAGGGAAATTTATGTTACTATTAAACTTGCTTTTGTCGATTTTCATTGCTATACTAATATTTTAAAGCTTTTTATGATGAAGGTTAGTTTTTATGTGGGTAGGATCAAAGTAAAGGTACATAAAGCTAAATTATACCAAATTTCAGCATATTTTCTGCCTATTATTATGACCACACAGAAAAAAATTAAATTCAAAATCAAACAAAAAATTCATAAAGCCAAGTATTTTTTTAACTAAAATTGGACCTATCACGAAATTCGTAAAATCAAGTACTCAAATTCGTAAATTCTTTATTGAAAAAATTTCAGGATTTTTCTTATTAAAATAATATACTATTTACGAAAAACATTAATAAATATTCGCAACATTTCCAAACAATTATTTTACTTAAACAATAACGCAAATTATTTGTATTTGTACTGAAATTCAAGCAATTATTTTTTCTGAAACAGATAAATTATTTATTGTATTTTGGCAATAATAATACACAAAATTCCTTATTGAATCTATAAAAATTTTGTTAAAAAATATATATTGAATTTTAACAAAAATTTTACTAATTCTATAAAATTAAAATTTGTAGAAAAAAGTACTTATATACTTACAACAAATTTATTTCACATTCTAGAAACTATTATTTGTACTGTGAAAACTGAAACACTCATACATTAAATGTTATAAACCAAGTAAGAATTATATCAATTCATTTTAGTACATTCCAAAACTAGTTTTATTGTTGTATTCCATATGCTGACATATAAATAAAACTCAAACAAAAACATTTATTGAACCAGTAAAAATATTTACTGAAAATTAAATTTATTTCAATAAAGTGTTTGTTAGAAAATATTTTCCTTCTGCGTGAAAATCAAACAAATTCGTTATAAAACCAAATAAAAATTTTTATAAAAATCGAAATTAAATTTAAGCAAACGATTGTTAAGAAAAAAAATGTGCATATTTTTTTCTGTGCACCATCAAAAAAGATGGGGTATATATATATATTCTAGGTCCTCATTAAATTCTAAGACGATCTAGCCATGTCTGTCGTCCGTCCGTCCGTCTGTCTGTTGAAAGCACGATAGGGTTTGGCTGAAAAGATATAGAGCGTTGAAATTTTATACAAATATTCCCCAAAGGTAAGGCCATACAAGTGGCCCCCCGAAGAACAGTTCTTGCAGTCATAACTATTTTAGAAATTCAAGTAAAGCGATAAAATTCGACATAGACAAGTTTTATATGAACCAAAATCTTTTTACAAAATTTTATGATGATCGGACCATAATTGACCCTACCCATATAAGCCTCTTCAGAAATTAGCTTTAACGCATATTACTCACTTAAAAATGCGAGTACAGCGTGAAACTTGACACAGACATGTTTTATATCTCTCTACTAAATTTTGTGAGGATCGGTCCATAATTGCCCCTACCTCCCATATAAGGCCCCCTTCAGCTCATTACTGGCTTAAAACTATAGGTACTGCGATAAAATACGACATAAACGATTTTAATAACAACCAAAATCCCTTCAGAAAACTTATGAAGATATGTTCTTAATTGGCTTTAACCACCCATAAAAATAAATGTGATGTTGAATTTCATATATCATACATAAACAAATTTAATGCGAACGAAAATCCCCTAAGGAAGCTTTTAATTTACGGCAAAAGGATAAAGTTTATATACTTAACAAGTAAATTTTCTTTTTATACCCTACACCACTTTAGTGGGGAGGGTATATTGGGTTTGTGCTGATGTTTGTAACGCACAATAATATTGGTCCTATACCCACCTTAAAGTATACCAATCGGCTCAGAATCATTTTCTGAGTCGATTTAGCTATGTCTGTCCGTCCGTCCGTCTGTCCGTCCGTCCGTCCATGTAAACCTTGTAATCAAACTACAGGTCGCAATTTTGAAGATAATTCAATGAAATTTGGTACATGATATTCTATTGTCCCAGAGACGAAGCCTATTGAAAATGGTTAACATCGGTCCATTATTTCACATAGCCCCCATACAACTGAACCCCTCGAATAGGGCTTTTAAAATTTGTAATCAAACTACAGGTCGCAATTTTGGAGATAATTCAATGAAATTTGGCACATGATCTTTTATGGTACCGTAGATGAAGCCTGTTAAAAATGGCTTACATCGGTCCATTATTTCACCTAGCCCCCATACAACTGAACCCGCCGAATAGGGCTTTTAAGTTCATAATTATGTTTAATATACTCATATCTCGACAAAAAGCTGCAATAACCAAGTTGTATACAAGACTTGATGACCCCCACGAATTCCATAATAATAGGTTCTCATATGACCCTAGTCCCTATGAAAAGCCCCCATCAAAATTTCACTTAAATGTACAATTCAACTTAAATGCTTTATTATGGCAACTAAATCACATTATATTTTTGTCAAAGGTGTAAGGTATTATATGGTCGCCCGACTATAATTTCTTACTTGTTTTAAAACTGCTCTGTATTTCGTCCCACTATAAACGACATTGGTTAAAAATTTAAGAAGATAATTCAAGTTTAAAAGTTTAAAAAATGTTCCAAAAAAATCCACCAAACTGAAGAGTTGCGAATTTAAAAAAAATATTTCGAAAATATTATTAACAATTTATTCCAGAATTACAATATTTGAATATATCCCTCATTAACATTTATATTTTTTTCGAAAAACTCATGGAAGTATGAGTAATAAACCTGACATCTATTCACAGAGATTTAAGATTATTTCAACTGAATTTTCAATATTTTTGTGATAAGAATACCTTTGCTAAAGTGCTGTGAATAAGACCCATAAAATTGTTTATATAAAAAATAACTAAAACTATCAATATTAATCGTTTTCTTCTTAACCCTTTTTAGCATTTTCTTTCTTAACGAATAATTAAAAGATTTAACGTCCTAGATTTTTTTTTAATATTTTTTCTGGACTTAGCCGAAGGCCGGCTATTTACGAAATATTTATTAAGCGAAGCCGTTGTTGGACATACCATAGAGTAGGAAGTTCTTGCGCACGGCCATAGGCCGGCTATTAAAAGAATCTTTATTAAGCGATTAAACTGAAATGTATTAAGCCCCACTCGAAAGTATAAGCGACCTACTTTTTTAGAAATGTCACATATTTAGAAATGTCCCATGTTCCATAATTTGTTATTTTTAAATGGGAACTTATTTCATTTTAAAATTAGGGATTCGTTCCATAAGAAATAAATCCCCAAAAATGGGGTGTTATTTCATTTTAATTTAGGAAGTTATTTCATTTCGTTGGGGCTTTTTTTCATTTTTAAATTGGGGAATTATTTCATAATGAAAGTCCCCAAATTTGAGGACTTATTTAATTTTTCTTTTGGGGAGTTATTTCGTGGGGAGTTATTTCATGACGGCTTCAAAGGTCATACCCCATAAGGTGCAACTTCATTCAGATACCGTTATGGTCCATTGTGAATATCCTATCGATAAGAAGATAGAATAAAGCTATAGCACTTTATATATTCAATTGTCTCTAGCTTCTCCGAATTTTCGCATAGCCTGTTCAATAAGCTAACAAAGGCCTTTATAGAACAATACCCCTTTACAACCCCTTTCAGAGTACTTGGACTACATCTATAAAGTCCAATAAGCACTTTTTTAGCCTTTTCATCAAGCTTTGTTCATAAGGCCTTTGATACCACGCAATTCATTTTACTGCTCCATAACTGATTAGTTTTGTCCTGGAATCTATCAGAGATCTTAATTACAAATCTTACAGCTTGACTATCTACATATCTCTTTGTCTGTCTATGTGTCTCTGTATCCGTGCCAGTTGAAAGCGCCACTGGACCTAAATGGAAGGAAGTAGAGGACTGAAATTATTCACATATACAATTAGCTTCAAAATAGAAATACATTGATGAAATTTGACATGAGCAAATTATTTTATAAACTATTCTAGTATTCATGTTGATCCTACTTAAAATCTATTAAATATTTTGTTTAAAGCGTTTTGAGTTTAAAGCGTTTGATGCAAAACTGATCATGAACGAATAATCACCCTGATATAAATATTAATATCGATAATATTTGGCATAATTGAATATAGTACTTTTTCTTTTTAGCTTTTGAAGAACTCTAATTTTCCAAAATTATTTTTATTTCACATTTAATAGGTTAAATTTTCTACTTTGCATAAATATGGCATGCTAATGTTGTACGATTTTTTCTTTTAAATAATAATTATAGCATTTTTGTGAAGGTTAATCTTATATTTTTTTTTTTTTTGGGGAATTTCTTTTGAAGAATATGCAAACTGAAAACACAAACACGAAAATAAAATTATTTAATGTATATTTCTAGGCAAAAGGATATTATTAAAAAATACAAATAGCGTATAAAAAAACCTCAAGCAAGCAAATACTTTAATATTAAACAAAAACACTACAGCCTACTTGATTGAGCCTGTAAGCTTTTTTACAAGCTATTTCAAATATTTAAACGAAAAAACGACATATTTTTTAAGGTTTTACAAGTTATTTATTTGACTGATGCAATGCGACTATAAAAAATACAAAATCAAAAATTCTTAAAAGCAGAGGTCAAGAGCGACAAAATAAACTTCATAATTAAGATTATTAAAATATATAGTGAGCTGCACCGTTATAAAAGAATATTAATATTTTGCTTAATGTTTGTTATTGTAAAATTAATAACAAGTAATTTTTCATAAATAAGTAGGTAAGGCAAAATAATACACAAATCTTCATACATATAATAATACGCAGTCGAAAAATATTAAGTCTGCTGCTTCTGTCGGCGCATTTTTTAAATCGCTGCATTCGACACAGACCTTTTCTGCTGTCGCTCTTGCTGCTTTTGTAATATGATCACTCTGCAATTAGCTAGCACAGTGGTCACAACGAACATCCTCCCCCCGTTGGAAGGCTACGGCTTTCAACCAAATTATCTTCAATAGGTAATATACCTAATTTTGTAACAGCTCGGCGAAACGTATTGCTGCTTGTTTTAACTATAGCCACTCGTACTACGCCATCCTTTCCAGGAACCACATCCTCTATACGACCTAACTGCCACCTTAAAGGTGGTGCGTTTTCATCTTTAACGAGAACCATTGTACCTTTAGTTAGATTTATACTTGTTGATCTCCATTTGGAACGCTCTTGCAGTATTGCTAAATATGCGGTGCTCCATTTTTTCCAAAAAACTTGCTGCATGTAACACACTTTCTGCCAACGGTTTAAACGATTTATATTTAGTTCTGTCAAATCAGGTTCCAAAATTGTTGTTAGTGTTGAACCTACTAAAAAATGTGCTGGGGTTAATACTTCGAGATCATCAGGATTTTCTGTAATTGGAAATAAGGGTCTTGAGTTTAGAATGCAGATATTTGGTAGACAAGCGTTCTCAATTCATCGAATGTTAAAACTGATAATCCCACGGTACGGTAAAAATGATATTTAGCAGCCTTAACGGCTGCCTCCCAAAGGCCACCAAAGTGTGGCGACCTAGGAGGTATGAACTTCCAATTTATTTCCTCTTCTTGGTTTGCCACGAATTGAAATAAAACGTTTGAGTGATGATAAAAAAGTCGATGTCGACAAATCTGGTACCAACTCTAAATGTGTTGCCTTTGTTGAAAAGCAAATAAAAAGGCATACGTAGCATTTCACTGGAGGCCGACTTCTTATCTCACACTTGTAGTAAAGCGGGCCACAAAAATCGATGCCCGTGGTATAAAAAGCTCTATTTGGCTACACACGTTCAGCGGGTAAACTACCCATTATGTGTTGAGCAATTTTAGGTTTAAGTCGAAAACATTTAATGCATTTATTAATGATAGCGCTTATTGTTTTTCTACATCCAATTGGCCAATATTGTTGTCGAATATGAGCTAACAAACACTGTGGTCCTGCATGCAATAATTTTTGATGATAATACAAAACAAGAGATTTCGTGAGAAGATGCCCTTTTGGAAGTATTATGGGATGTTGGGCTTCGAAGTTTAAAAATGAATATTGTAGACGACCTCCAACTCTAATCAAGCCTTCCGAATCAATGAAGGGCGTTAGCGAATGAAGTTTATTAGATGGTGGTAGATTTTCATTTCTTTTTAAAATTTTATATTCGGTAGCAAAATGCACAAATTGTATATTACGAATCAAAATTTGAGTACCCAATTTTATTTCTTGTGGTGTCAACTCTGATGAGCACTTAAGGGTCTTTTTGTATTTTAAAAATCTATATACATACGCGAAATCCTTTGCATTTTAGGAAACGAATTGTAATATTTGCAATTTATTGAAAAATCAGTAATAGATGATGCTATTAAAGTAACTCTACGACGCTCAGGAAGATCCGTTATAAAATTCATCGTTTTTGGCCAATATTCTGTGGTTTTATATAAAAAATCTGGCCCTTCTTTCCAAAGATTTGAATTTAAAAGCTCACTTGGGGAGGCTCCCCTCGACAAAACATCCGCAGGGTTTACTGCAATTGGGACGTGGTGCCACAACATATTATTAGTCAAATTTTGAATACGACTTACCCTGTTAGCAACAAATACATTGTAGTTTGATGACTCTTCTCTCAGCCAGGATAAAACAACCATCGAATCTGACCAGCAATGATATTCATATTTATCGTCTAGGGTGTTTGAAATTTCATTTAAAAGCTCTGCTAAAAGTAATGCAGCTGACAACTCGAGTTTAGGAACGGTGAGAACCTTTAACGGTAGACTTTGAGGTAGACTTTCATCCCAGTCTAATTTGCATTTCCATAAATTTTGCATAAACACCTTTGCTTTAGTTATGACGGGTCCAATGAGTCCCAACGGGTCGTAAAAACGTGCTACCGAAGACAAAACTGTGCGCTTCGTAATAATTTTAGTATCCAAAACGTGAGAAAACGAAAATATAAATGCGTCACATTTTGGGTCCCAAAAAAGGCCTAAGGTTTTCGTTATGTCGCTGCCATCTTGAAATTTCAGAAATTCTTCACAATCAGATGATGGCACATGTTTCAACACAGAGGGATCATTTGAGCACCATTTTCGAATATCAAAGTTACCCCTTTTTAGCAGCTTCGTTACTTGCGTTCTAATTTCAACGACTTCCTCTACAGAATTTCCACCAGATATCAAGTCGTCAACGTAAAAATCGCGTCTCACAATATTAGAACCAATAGGAAAGGAGTTTTCTTCATCGATAGCGAGCTGATGCATCGTCCGAATTGCGAGGAATGCAGCTGGCTTCGTGCCATAAGTAATTTGTAAATTTTCAATTCTTCACTAGGGTTGTTTCTCCATAGAATGCACTGCAGAAAATTATCTGGGTGTGTAACACGAATGCAGCGGTACATTTTGCAGATGTCTCCGCTCAAAGCAATTTTAAAGAAACGAAATCTCAATAATGTATTAAACAATTTAGGCTGAATGGTAGGTCCCGAATATAGTGTGTCGTTAAGTGATATACCTGTACTTGTTTTGACGGAACCGTCGAAAACAACTCTAAGCTTCGTCGTTGTACTGTCTTCTTTATGTACGCAGTGGTGGGGAAGATAATTAGCTTTAATTTGATTAGGAATGATTGAAACTAAAGACATGTGTTTCAACTTTATATATTCATCCATAAAGTCTAAGTACTGCCTCTTAATGTCTGGATGCTTACTTAATTTATTTTCCAGAGATAAAAAACGCCTACGAGCCAATTCGTACGAATCTCCAAGTTCATGAATACTTAGTTTTTTCGGCAGACTAATAGAATATTGTCCAGAATGGAGTCTAAATATATTTTGTTGGAAATGATGCTCGCAAAATTCATCATCGGTAGAAAGTTTTGAATTATTTTCGAAGTTATTTTCGATCTCCCAAAAACTTTTGACAACATCAACTAATAATTCTGTTTTTGTTTCATGATCATTTGTATGTGCTGTAGCTAACGAAAAGGTATTTGATGAGGGTGTACCACCACCAGCAACTATCCATCCAAGTTGAGTTTTTTGTAGTATTGGCATGTTATCACCGATTCTAAATTGCCCTACGCTCATGAGGTCGAAGAATAAGCTAGCGCCAATTAAAATGTCTATTCGGCCACACTTATAAAAATTTGGGTCCGCTAAATTAATATTACTGGGAATTTGAAACTTATTTACGTCGAATTTTGTGTTTGGCTGATATTTAGTAATTGTTGGTATAATAACAGCAGCAAATGATAGTAAATAATTACTGTGACACGATTTAATGACCACATTGGCCGATTTATCTGCAATAAAATTACCGTCTCCAATGCCGGAAATTGATACACACGATTGTTTAACTTTTAACTGCAATTGTTTTGCGAAACGAGTAGTAATAAAATTCAATTGCGATGCAGAGTCGAAAATTGCTCGACAAGGTACAAAAATACCAAACTTGTTCTTTACTAGAATTATGGCAGTGGCTAAAAACACATTATTACCGTTTGGAGTTTCCAGAGCTTCAGGTGTGACATTGGACTTTGACGATGAAACGAGGGTAGATTGGGTTTGTAACGACTTTGGATCTTCATTTGCCTTTTCTTGGGCCTCAGTTTGGAGCAGGCGTGTAGCTTCATTTTGTTCTATACTGTTACTTTCCATGTGCAACAATGAGTTATGTTTCATTGAACAATAACGACAAGTGCCGAACTTACATTTCAAAAGTCTGTGTCCCTTTCTTAAACAGTTAAGACATAAATTTAATTTCTTTGCTTCTTTAAAACGTAATACTGGTGAAAGATTTGCAAAACGAGAACAGTTAGTTATGTAATGATCTTTTGCATCAAAAAAATAGCAAATTGGAGTCGTAGTACTAGAAGCAACAAGAACATTTCGACCATAATTATTAAATTTCTTGCTCACCTGTTGATTTGGCTTTTTTGTTACCATAGAACTTTCAAGATTTTCAAGCATACGACATCTACGCTCAAGGAACGATGCCATTGACGACCAAGTTGGTAATTGATCAGTTTGCAATCCTTCTTCCCACTTTGTTTGTGATTGTGAGTCTAGTTTCGAATTAACAATATGTATTAAAAGACCATCAGCGATTTGTTCCCGAGAGCAAATAGTTTCGAGAGCCCTCATATGTGCATTAAGTTTATCGCTTAATTGCCGCAAACTTGAAGCCGAACCCTTGTCAACACCTTTCAGCCCAAAAATCTCTTTAATGTGTGCCTGAAAATTTATTAACTTGTTATCAAAACGGTTCTTTAATAATATAACATCCTTATCATAATTAGCCTCAGTAGGATCTAACGATGATACTGTAGCCAGAGCAGCTCCCACTAAACACGCACGTAGATGCTGGAACTTCTCTATTTTGCTTAAGTCCACATCGTTTGCTATTACTGTTGTGAACATTGCTCAGGCAATCTAGTTTTTCGAATATTGATCGATTCATCCATCGAAAATTGGCGAACAGTTGAAGAATGGGGGGTAGAACGAGTAACATTAACCTTACGTTTTATTCTCGCTTTAATTTCAAAATACGATGTCATGAAATTTTGACGTATATTGCAGTCTATATCACCTTCACATTTTTCTTCAAAAACCGAAATAGCCTGTTCGAAGTGGGATAACAGACTTTCTACGTAATCAAGGCGAACAGAAAGATCGACATCATCCATATTATGTAACTCATCTGAATTTAGGCGATTATTAATATCAAATAACTGCTGACTAATGGAAGTCACTTTAGCTAAGTATTTTGAGATAATAGAGTCTTCATTTTCTGAAGTCGAAGAATTTTTATCAGGCATGATGATGATATTTTATTGAATTCGAAAGTATTAAATTTGGTTATAAATCTGAATTGATTTAAACCACGACAAGCTATTGCATCACGTCGGGGTCACCAATGATTGAGCCTGTAAGCTTTTTTACAAGCTATTTCAAATATTTAAACGAAAAAACGACAAATTTTTTAAGGTTTTACAAGTTATTTATTTGACTGATGCAATGCGACTATAAAACATACAAAATCAAAAATTCTTAAAAGCAGAGGTCAAGAGCGACAAAATAAACTTCATAATTAAGATTATTAAAATATATAGTGAGCTGCACCGTTATAAAAGAATATTAATATTTTGCTTAATGTTTGTTATTGTAAAATTAATAACAAGTAATTTTTCATAAATAAGTAGGTAAGGCAAAATAATACACAAATCTTCATACATATAATAATACGCAGTCGAAAAATATTAAGTCTGCTGCTTCTGTCGGCGCATTTTTTAAATCGCTGCATTCGACACAGACCTTTTCTGCTGTCGCTTTTGTAATATGATCACTCTGCAATTAGCTAGCATAGTGGTCACAACGAACACTACTTATAGACTTTCAAAAAATAAAATAAATTAAAGTGAACATTTTGGGCGAAATAAAAAAATAATACTTTTTTTAAGCTATTAAAAGAGAAGAAAGCGGCAGTTAAAGGAAAAGTATTAAAAAGTGAAGAAAATTATTTAAAATGTGTTTGATGATCGTGAACAGTAAAATAGAAATTTAAAAATTTAATAAATTAAAGTGAAAATAACATAAAATTTAAAACATTGCTGCAAATTTTCCTGTTAAACAAAAAAGGTTGACAGATACAATATGACATTTGACAATAACAAAATAATTGATATTTATGGATTATAATAAAGATGTAAAAATGTAAATAATACTTAACAATCTCCTCCTTATTTTTATACCCACCATTAAAAAAGATGGGGGGTATATTGATTTTGTCATTCCGTGTGTAACACATCGAAATATTGTTCACAGACCCCATAAAGTATATATATTCTGGGACCTCGTAAGATTCTAAGACGATCTAGCCATGTCCGTCCGTCTGTCTGTTGTTGGCACGATAGCGTCCACAAAAAAGAGATATATAAGGTCCCCTTCAGAAAATGACTTTAACTGTCATTATTGGCGTAAAAATACGAGTATAGCTATGAAATTTGACACAAGTAAGTTTTGTATGAGTGAAAATCTCTCCAACAAATTTTATGTAGATCGGCCCATAACTGACCCTACCCCCCATATAAGGTCCCCTTTATAAAATTACTTTAACGCTCATTACTGGATTAAAAGTACGAGTATAGCGATGAAATTTCACAGGAGTTAGTTTTATATGAGCCAAAATCTCTCTACCAAATGTTATGCGGATCGGCAGATTTTATGTGGATTGGTACATACATAATTGACTCCTTATATAAGGTCCCCTCCATAAAATTACTTTAACGCTCATTACTGACTTAAAAATAAGAGTATAGCGATGAAATTTCACAGAAGTAAGTTTTATAAGAGCCAAAATCTCTCTACCAAATGTTATGTTGATCGTCCATAATTAACCCTACCCGCCCATATAAGGTCCCCTTCTGAAAATGTCTTAAATTTGACATAAATAAGTATCTTAGGAGCTAAAAACCTTTCCACAAATTGTATGAGGATCGGGTTTTAAATGACCCTATCCCCCATATAAGGTCCCCAACAGAAAATTACTTTAACGCTCACTACTGGCCTAAAACACGAGTAATGCGATGAAATTCGATATAGTTTTGTATGAGCTAACATCTCTCTACAAAATTTTGTGGGGATCGGTCCATAATTGACCAAATGCTCATTACTGGCTTAAAAATGCGAGTACAGCGATGAAATTCGGCACTGATAAGTTCTATAGGAACCGAAATATCTCTACCAATTTGTGTGCGGATCAGTCCATTATAACCCCACCCCATATAAATTCCCCCTCAGAAAATGACTACAACGAGAAAAATACGAATACCTCAATGCAATTCGACATAAACTAATTTTATACTAAAATCTCTCTACCATATTTTATGAGAATTGGTCCATAATTAACCCTAACCCTTTATAAGGTCCCTTTAAGAAAATGACTTTAATGCTCATTACTGGCTTAAAAATACAAGTAGATCTATGAAATTTGAAACAAATAGGGAACTGAAATCTTCCTACCGACTTTTATGAGAATTGGCCCATATATGTACATAAAACCTTACTCCCTATATATATTAATATATTTAATTCGAAAGAGCACTGTCAATAGTTAAAACCCCATTAATGGGCCTCTTTAAAATATTACCCTGATATTCTCATTAATATCGATATATAATAATAACATATTCAAAATATCAAAGTTTATTTATATGGCAGTGATTTGATGGTGGGTATATAAGATTCGGCATAGCCGAATATAACACTCTTACTTGTTCATTTTCAAATCATTTCAAATTTAATTTATTTCTTAATGTTATAAATCTATCTTTTGGTAATGCTTTAGTGAACAGGTCAGCTAACATATCTTCTGTAGGGCAGTATCGCACCTGCACCAGTTGTTTATTAATGTAGTCTTTAACAAAGTGAGTTTTGGTGTCAATATGTTTTGAACGATTACTAAGTTTTTCTTCAGCGGTTAATTTTATGGCACTTTGATTGTCTTCATAGACAGTTGTTGGTTTGTCGTAGGACCAGTTTAGGTCTTGTAGTATATGCTGAATCCAAACAGCTTCTTAACAGGCTTCAGAGAGGGCAATGAATTCTGCCTCTATAGAAGACAGTGCAACGCAATCTTGTCGCTTACAAGTCCAACTAACGACACCATTTAATAGAAAAACATAGCCAGAATTTGACTTACGTGTTTGGCGGTCCTCGGCCCAATTAGCGTCGGCATATCCCACAAGATCACCATTGGTTGACATTTCTCCAAGTCTTAATTTAAAGTTAGATGTTTGCCTAAGATATCTTATAAGCCTTTTCACCTCTATCCAGTCAGTCTGAGTAGGATTTTCGATCTTCGAACTTACAGTTGCAGAAATATCAGGACGCGTATTTGTTGAAATGTATAAAAGACAGCCAATTGCAGCTCGGTATTTCTCATTATTTGGCAATTTGTTATCCTCGGGTTGTTTGTGGTAGGCGGGGCTTATAGGAGTTAACAAAACCTTTGCATCTTGTAAGTCGAATTTTTTAATTACTTCTAAAATGTATTTAGTTTTTCTTATTAAGTAAATATCGTTTTTCTTTGCAACTTGTATACCAAGATAATTTGACACCAAACCTAAATTATCGAGTGTAAAATGTTTTCCTAGTACATTCCGAATACGATCAACTTCATGTTTACTGTTAGAGACAACCCTGCCAACAATTTCTATCCAAATTGTAACCATAATGTTACAGCTTAATGTTTAAAACAATCTAATTTGATATAATCTGAGTGAATGAAAAGTGACCCCGTTCGGAAGAAACTGTTCCGCCTGTTTAATACTTACTTGATGTGCCCATTTCGTTTCAGTTTGAAGTCACTTTTTTATAACATAAAATTTCGTAAATGTAGTAAATTTCCAGTTTTGCCATAACAATAGAGAAGCTGGAAAGTGTTATGATTTTATACTCTTTTATGTTATAAAAGCGACTTTATAATAATTTTTTTTTTATTTTTTTATTATACTGTTTTGTACTCACTAATCTCTCACTGATGCTTATTTTATATTAAACTATGTTTTAGATATATTAAATTTTAAATTAACACAATTTATTACAAAATCTAAATTTCACAATATATCACACAACTGATCACAATGAAATAAATATATTTACTGAAATGTGCAAACACTTTTCCTTCTGAATTTTGAGAGCAAGAATGATTCTGCATTAAACAATCTTCTTAGTGTATTAAAAAGTGTTAGTTTTTGAAATTTTTATTCTATCTACTTATTATCATTTAATTTTGCTTTTGGTATATTAAAACGCACTAAAATTTAACAAAATTATGATCAAAATTAGAAAGTACTGTATTTTGTTTTTGTAAATTTTTTAACTTAGCACTGAGAAACATAAAATTGAGCCTTTATAGTGACTATTCAGTTCATGTATCCAAAATTAAACTCAAATTTGCTGGCAGGGAATGGGTATATGATCGACGTAGACTAATACAAACAAATGGTTTTCATATGTGTAGAGGCAATTATCCGCCTTAATTTGCCTTAATTTAGTATTAACAAGAATATTGTGTAATGTCTGATTCCATATACGTGCGGACTGCTTGAGTCCATAGAGACTTTTGTTTAACAAACATACCTTATTAGGGTTGTTTTCATCGACGACTCCTGGAGGCTGTCGCACATAAATCTCCTCCTCTAATTCACCGTTTAGGCAGGCAGTCTTTGCATCGAAATGAAATACATCCATTTTTCTAGTTGCGGCAATGGATAATAAAATTCTAAAAGTTGCATGTTTAGCAACGGGAGCAAAAACTTGGTCATAGTCGTCCCCAAACTTCTGGCTAAATCCTTGGGCTACTAATCGGGCCTTATATTTTTTAACTTTTCCATCTTCTTTTGTTTTTAATTTATAGA